GTGTGTGTTTGTGTGTGTGTGTGTGTGTGTGTAAAAGTGAAGTGACACACAGCTGCTGTTTTTCTTATGATTTTTGGCTGTTTGTCTTTGGATTATCACCTGTGTTTGGATCAAATAAAACGAAGCTGCATTTAGATCCTTCTCATTTTTTTTTATTGACCCATTGTGAGAATGCTCCACGAAGATGCCTTTTTGTCTTCAATTTTGTACTTTTAAAATATATATTTTACATGATATATACAGTGGTGGCCAAAATGAGTAGAACACTAGTATTTTCAGCAGCTAAATATGTTTTTAAGTCAGTTATTTCTATCTTTTGCTGTAGTGTGTCAGTAGGAAATATCAGTTTACATTTCCAAACATTCATTTGGCCATTAATTGTAATAATCCAGTGAGATTTTTGAGCTCCACACAGAGATCTGATCTGATCATCATCAGTCTGTCTGGAGTCACATGAAGAAACAGAACAAACTGAGACAGACTCAATCCAGAAGAACTGTGTCTCCGAGACGCTTCAAGAAACCTCCTGCAAAACTACAGTGCTGTTAAGTCTTAGGCACTTTTGTAAAAATGCTGTCATAAATAATGTCATAAATAGATTTTCTTTATCAGTTAACTTCTATGAACTAAATCAAATCAACATTTGGTGTGAGCATTCTTTGTGTTTAAAGCAGCTTTTGCCCTCGGTGCACTTGAGCAGAGTTTCTCAGGGAGCTTTCTTGAAGCTCTTGGAGACAATGCCACAGCTACTTACTTAAAAAACATTTTTTAGTGGGTGAAAATACTAGTGTTCTAATCATTTTGGCCACCACAGTATAAAAAAATTATATTTCTTCTCTCCATTTTTTTTGTCTCCCAACCACAATCATTATTGTTTTCATGAAAATATTTAATAATAAATAAATGAAAAGCACATTTGTGAAATCACCCACGGAACACAGTACTAGAGCTCCATCAGTGTCAGTGTTTGTGTGCTGGTGGTTTATTGTACTGTACTTTATATAAAACTCTTGGAGGATTAATGATGTACTGTACTTATTATATGTCTATGCATTCATTACCAACCTCACACACTTTCCTCTCAAGTAATGTCATCTTCTTATGTACTTACGCAGCATCACCTTTATCCCTCAGGCCGGGTTTATCCTCAGTATATAATGTGCTTCTTTATTCTACGTAACTCTTAATATAGCACAGCTGTTTTCTAATGAAAAGGTTGCGTCACAGATCAAATGAAAGCCCAGCCTCTGTGTTGAAGGCGGTATTTTCCCGCTCAATCCCATAAAGCCGTCCAGCACTGAGACTTTGCTAGAATGAACTGTGAAAGCCCTGTGTGGAGGAGGGACTGATGGGATCAGACACTATAAAAGACTGGAGTAAATCTCCACATGAAGCACAGACTGACCCACATCCAGCTCAGAGGACTACAGCTGCTCCGTCTGCTGTGACATCAGATCATCTGCCAGCAATAAAAATGAAATAAACAACGAAATACAATGACACAGAAAAAGGTAAGATTTCATTTTATTGATGAATAGAATAGAATAGAATCAGCAGACTTTCTTCAAACCCTGTAAGCACAGTAGCAGAAGTGAATTAATGCAAGACATTATAATAGTTTTCAATTTAGTGGCATTAAAACTGAACAAAAGATGTCATGCTCACAGAAAACCAATCCAGAAGCCTCACAAGATATTGCTTCTTCACCGGCACATTGCTATAAGCAGATTATTCAGACTATTTATAAATCAAGCTTCCTTATTATTACCAGTGTTATTCCTACACTAACTAAAACATTAAATCTTGCAATCATGCATAAAATCAAAATGATCTTTTTCATAAGATGTCATATGTTCTATATCTGATTTATTTAGTCTATATCTGTTATATATGCTTATAAACAACACTGCGGTGATACAAACATTTGATCCCAGATTTCTTTCTTGTAAAAAATGGACCACAATTGACATACAGCTTGAAGTTTTATATGTTTACCAAAGATGAGAGTTTGCTCAGTTTTATAGCCATTTTGAAAGTGAATTAAATGATTATTTCATGTCATTATTTGGCAACATTAATGGCTTCTATATTACATGCTCTTGATATTCTCTCGATATGTTCATTAACAGGTTGCACCGACAGTCCAAACTGTTGAAGGAAACATGCCTCCAAGCTATGAAGAGGCAAATGCAGGTATAGCTTGACATCTATCTATCTATCTATCTATCTATCTATCTAATCTGACTGTTTCTATCTATCTATCTATCTATCTATCTATCTATCTATCTATCTCTCTAATCTGACTATTTATATCTATCTATCTAATCTGACTATTTCTATCTATCTAATCTGACTATTTCTATCTATCTATCTGACTATTTTATTTCTATCT